ATGAGGGTGTTACACAAAGCACAACATTGCCCTAAAAAGTCTCCTTTTTAGTTAGGCCTACTTAGCCATGCACGCCACGGTTCAATCATTGCGTCACACCTTATATTCATAATCCCTTTTGCCCTAATCTTAGAATTGCCCTCCCTTGGGATGGGGGTGGGAGTGGTCCATTTATTTTGGTGTGACGATGACACCTTTTACTCTCTCGTTGACCCGTTGATGAAAAAACCTAAATGAACGTATATGAAACGTCTTGATAATTATAACACTTAAGAAAGTTAGTTAATATGACATGGAAAGTTAAGTAGAGGACCTATCGTTAATACCTATATATATAAAGTTATGCACCTCCATTCTCTATGTTGATAATGAAATTTAAATGAATACACAGTCCATTACTTACTATTTGAATTTTTTATGAATAAATATTGGACTATGATTAAATTCACCTATGTCTACCAGAAACTTTAAATTGTATAGCATGCCAGTCACATCTTCTTGACAAATAAAACAATATTTAGACATAAAGAATCGAGACGTAAAATATGTATTGGCGTCTTTTCATTTACTAAAAAGACGTAATGTGTTTGGTTGTCAAATATGTATTAAAGAACAACAAGTTTAAGACAACAAGTCTTGACGAATAGAAATAGCCATTTATTTTGGTATGACAGTCCTCACTCACTCATCAATAGCATGAGGCAACTGTTCAACAATTGAACCAGTAAACGTTAGAGAATACTTTATATATGTTGTTCATTCCATTGCACTTGCATGCACACCCTTCATTGTTTGATATTTGTGTGTCCTTCAACACCTCCCACACACACCAACCAAAATATTGTTTCGTTAAAATTTTACTTTTCAAAAAATGAGCAGTAGATAAGTAGATCCTACTAAATATGTGATGACAATTAATATTTAACTTCGAAAAGTAACTTTTTTAACAAAAGAAAATTAAATCTAAACAAAGGCATTAATACCAAAAGAGAACGAAAAATCGAGCTCTAAAGATTTAGTTGAGAGCCGAAAGGTATTCTTTTCATTTTTTTTTTTTAAATAATAACAAAAATTTCCTTTATGAGTAATTCTTAAATTTAGGCCTCGTTTGGTACCCATTTTTTTTAAAATGCATTTTTCTCTCTCTTTTTTTCAACCACACATTCTTTATTAAAATAATATTACACGTAAATCAAATTTTTTTCTTATTTTTTAACCACATATTTCCCATCAATTTACTATTTAAAAATCCATTTTTACATAAAAAATATCTCTCAAACACCCTCTTAATATAAAAATTTAAAATTCTGTAAATTTTAGCTTATTTGGTGCTTTTCGACCAGATAGACTTCACACCTTGATGACCCACCCAACCAAAAGAATTTGGTGAACAAGTTCACCTAATTTGACCCGAAATTTATAGACCCACCCGAAAGTAGAGTTAGTTG